ATTCAGTGTTTCTGACCCAGATGGGGTGCAGTCTTCCGCCGGGGGGGACAGAGTGGCTGGCGCTCTGAGTCCCTGGGGCCAGCCTTGGTCTCCTGCCCTGTGACCCCCCACCCGTGCGCCCAGAAGCCTGAGTCTCCGAACGACACTGCGGACGGGAGCTGTGGTCTCTTCGCGTCTACACTGGGGGCCCAGCCTTTGGGCTGACGCGCATTCCACAACCGGGAGGCCGCAGGGTACGGGCCGCAGTCTGGCTGAGCAACTGAGCAACGCGGCTGCGGGCGGGAGGGCTTCTGCCTTCCTGTTCCGGCAGCAAAGCCAGGTGAGCGGGGGCGGGGAGGCACCAATGCCGAGTCTCTGGCGGCTTGAAGCTCGCCTAGGCTATAGGGTCGTCTTCCCCTTTAGAAAGCCCACGAGGCAGGAGCCGGGAGGGGACGTGACCCCGCGGCGGGAGTCTGGACACCAGATCCAAGAAGGTAAGCTCACGACGAAGGGGACCCGCGTGTGATGTCTGCAAACACGCCCGTGCTAAGTCCGTGGCTTGCTCTCGTCTCCCGCCTGGCTGCCGGGCCCCTTGCTTTGCCCACTGCCCCCACCAGGAACCAGGCTGCAGGGACGCTTGGAGGGGCTGTGGGGCCACCTCCTTCAGGTGTGAAGCTCTGTCCACACCTGGACAGGAGGCTCAGGAGCGTCCAGGGTCAGACAGGGAAGTCTCGGCGTGCGAGCAACACCCTACAAAGCAGGGACAGCGGAGCCTGGTGCCCCAAACAAGGCCTTACGCCCGGGTCCAGGCAGTGGCCAGGCTTGCAGCTAGGGGAACGGGAACACAGCCCTTGGGCTCAGGCTCACAGCATGAGGACACCCACATGGAGAAGCGAGGTCTTCAGCCGCAGGGCAGGGCTGTGCCACCCCCAGAGTCCGATGTCCCCCAGGTACAGATGAGGAAACTAAGGCAGGACCGGCTTGTTGGCCTCATGTGCTCACGGTCCTGGCCCGGGCCTGCTCTGCCCCTCATGCTCCACCCCAGCGGTAAACGGGGAGGCACGTGCCCCAGGCTGCGGGGACAGATGGCAGGGGACGGCCTGCGGCACCTTTCCATCTCCCCAGCTTATCTCCCCTCCATCCCAGAGCCCAGGGCTCCCATGACCTTCTGTAAGAGCCTGGAGGTTGGCTCCTCTGGACCAGCCAGGTGAGCGCCGGCCCGGCCGGTGATACGGCCATGTGAGGCCGCCCGCCCGCCCGCCTGGCCGCTCTACCTGCTCGGAATTCAGCAGCAGCGTCTGCACTGGCTCAGGGTCCTGGAAGAGCCGCGTCTCTTCGATGATGTGGGCCTCATTCTCCAGGCTGACCGCTTTATGCAGGGTGCCCCGGTCTGCAAGGACAAAGCTAGAGGTCAGGGACGCACCCAGAGCGCAGGACAGTCCCTGTTCTTCCTCTCAGCTCCCTCCCTCGACAGGACACGTAGAAACTGATGCAGTCTGCACTTTGGAGGTGGAAAAGGAAAAGCCACTAGCAAATGCACTGCGGCCTCTCGTGGCCTGGGTCAGCACCACCGTTTTCCGAAAAACGGCTTAACACACCACTGCTGACTGCAGTGGAGGTCGGTGCAAAGAGATGGTACGAGCAGGTTGCAGGAGAGCTGGCTCCCAGGCCCCACTGGCCCTCGGGGGTGCTGTCCTTTGAGGGGCCGTGGGCAGGTGAGGGCCGGCCCCCCACCTGGCTCAGAGCTCGCTGGAAAGCCCCCAGGGCCGGCCATGGCGCCCTCTCCCAGGACGGGCTCCCATGGCAGGTCGGGACAGGCCTTCGGCCAGCTGCACGGGCACCACCCGGACTCCCTCTGTGCGAGCCTCAGCCACCGTGCCTGGACCCCCAGACGGGGGCCAGGACCCATGTGGCCGCGGACCTCGGAGGCCAGTACCAGGGGCTCTTCCGTAAAGCAGCAAGGATGAGCCCGACTGGCCCGGGGCCGGGACCCACCTGTGCCGACAAACATGACGTCGTAGAGGGTCCCGTCCAGGGCCTGTGTCCTGTCCACCACGATCTGCGTGTAGTTCACATCGCTTCGGATGAGCCTGGGCCTGTTGTCTATCGGGGTCACAGAGCTGTCCATCAGAGGGTGGTCTTTGACGAACTGCAGGGTCTTGTCTGGCAGACTGAGGGAGCTGGAGAAGTTGGCGGCCCGCGCCTCGCGGTTGATGCACTGCGGAGAGCAGAGCACCCCGTTAGCGCGCGCACCGGCCAACCACACCGGCCACCGCACGCGCTTCCCACGCGGCCCCCGCGAGGCGCAAAGCCCACTGCACGGTGGGCTCATCGGAAAGGCCACGAGGTGAAGTTCCACGAGACACGATGAAGTCGTTATGTATCAAGCTTCTGAAGCTGAAAACGAAGTACTTATCGCCTGGTAGCTCTTGCACGAGAATGCTGCTAAAATCACTAAAAACAGCCCAATTCCAAATAGCACAAAGGCCAAGTGTGAGAGGGATTCCTTCGTCTGTCCCTATCTCCTGATGTGCGTGAGCGAACGCACTTCAGTTCGGAACAGGCGTGGAGGGATCTGACCGCTGTCGGCCAACGGGCACCCCGGGGACGAGACCCAGTCCTGGGGGCGAGCGAGCCTGAGCGCCGGCCATGTGCCCGGCCCCACTCCCCGACCCCCGCCCCCGGCCCCACTCACCGCCCCGGGCCGCGGCGTGGGCACAGCCCCGTTGTAGCGCACCCACTTGGTGTGGGACTGCTCCACCGTGGTGCTCTGCATGTACTTCCCCTGGGAGAAGACCGCCTCCGCGGTGGACAGGTTGTAGGCGCACACGGCGGACAGCCCCACGTTGTTCCTGGGAGGAGGGGACAGCGTGACCGCGCCGGCGGGTGGGCATGCCAACACCGCCCCCCGGCCCCCTGGCCCGCACACTCACAGCTGTGGGGTGAAGACCCCGTAGATCACGGGCTCCTTCAGGCCCTGGGCCCTGAGCACGAAGACATCCTGCAGCACGTTGAAAACGAGGTTGCTATCCGGCCGCGAGCAGATCAGCCTGGCCTTCAGGAAGGACGTCCACTTCTTCTGCAAGGTCCGCAGGCCGCCCTGGTCCCCCTGAAACCCGAAGGAAGAGCGTGGTGGTGGGGGGGCGGGACCCGGGAGCGACCCACGCCAGGCAGGGTCTCTGATCAGAACACAAAACCCAGAGAGGCCTCTCCTGGAAGTCACCTTGCAGCAGCTGGGGCCACAGGTGGGCCGCACGCACCGGGCCTCGCACCCGGCCTAACAGCTGCGGACGCCCGCCAGCCTCACACCACTGACCCCGGTGAGCAAGCCGCGGACTCAGGGCTTCCATCTGCCTCAGTCCTCTTTGCAGAGGACACGGTCATTTCTAAGGGTTTTGCCAGGTCCTCCACAAACACATTTTCGTGAGCTGGCCCCAGGGGACGTCGGATGTGACGCGCTCGGGAGACAGCCCCGAAACAGAAATCCGGATGTGGGAGATGTTGGAATCCAAGCGTCCTTACTTATTTTGGACACGAAAAACACCCCCCCACACCTTTATGTTGGAATGCCGAAACCCCAATTCCAACAGAATCGAGCTCACACAGTGAACAGAAACTTTCTATAGCCTGGGAGGTCTGGGGACAATGTGTCAGAGGCAGGCCTGCTGAGGCCGGACAGCTGGTCCCACACGGGGCGCCGACGCTCCCGGGGTCTGCAGGGGGACCCCCCACCCAGGCTGCCCCCGGGCAGGCCCAGTGTCTGGCGGCCGTCCACACCTATCCGCGGCACGGAAGGATGAAGCAGTGGGTAAAGTGACATTTTGGAGGAAGCTTGGAGCCTGGGCCATGCAGCGCATCCTCCAGACACGCAAGCGCCCCGGGCCAGAGCCACCAGGAGTCGGGGGCTGGCTCACCTTGCAGACCCGCGCTACCCGTGGGACCATCAGCTTGAAGACAAACTCGTACTCCACGGACACCTCGGTGAAGAAGAAGTAGACGCGGTCATCCCCGCCGTCCACGCCGTCTGGGCGCTCTCGCATCACGTCAGCAAAGACGAAGCTTGGCTCTGCAAGCGACAGACGTGCGTCGTCCCTCTGCGCACCCCCGGGGCACATGACGCAGAAGGGGGCGCGCGCCGTGTCCCCCCCAGGCCCAGGGTGCGGACGGTGCCTGAGACCATGCCTGTGAGAACGGGCAGCCAGCTCCCTGTCCCCGGGGACCCACCGAAGACACCGTGTGTGCTCACACAAGCCCCCAGCCCGCAGATCCAGGTGCCCCAGCCCACCCCACAGCGAGGAGCAGCCAGGGTCCCCCAGAGCCCCCGCGACTTCCAAGCCCACGAGAGCCCTGTGTGAGCAGTTGCAGGGCCCCGCTGTGTACACGCTGTCCCGAGGGGAGTGGCCCGGCCAGCCCAAGTCACCACCAGGCCCTCACGTCGCAAAGGGCAGGGACCACATCCGGCTTCAGGGAGGGCAAGGCGGCCCCGATGTACCACGGGCTCCGCGGGGAAGGACCCAGCCTGGGGCGCCGGCTGCGAGTCCTGGCCGCTCCGGAAGCTCCCCGTGTGGGGGCCGCCCCGAGCTGGGGGGATGCGAGGGCCCTCGGGGAGGCTCAGAGCCGCAGAGGAACACGGCAGCAGGGGCACCTGCCTCTTACCATTGAGCCACGGTATCGCATACTCCGTCCTCAGAGGGCTGTGGGATGAGTTTCGGGAGATGATGGGCTCGCTTCCCAGAAAGTTGTAGGATGTCCCGGAATACAGCTCCCCATCTTGAGCACCCCAGAGGACAGAGGAAAGGGGGTCAGCCGCAGCGCTCCCGTCACAGCGGGGCACAAGCCCCCCCCGCCCCAGGAGAGGGACAGACCACAGCCCTGCTCCTGGGCGCGCGTGGCCGCTTCCCGGGCCTTCTGCTGCATTTCCAAGACCAGGACAATCGTGCACTCCACGTGAAAGGTGCTTTTCGAGGGCTGGGGTGCTAACACCAGGTGACCCCGCACCCGGGAGGTGACAGACTTAATGGTGGGTGCGCGGGGCTCCCGGCCTGAGGCTGCGGCTCCGCACGGACCTCCCTCCAGGAGCGTGGACAGCATGAACGAGAGGCATGTGATTTGCACGAACGACAAATCTAAAATAACCCCTTCCCACAAATCTGACTTGTGGCCCCGGACGGTGGCCGGTCACCCTTTTGCACAATGAGTTCAAAACAGTCATATGGAGGTCTACGGAGAGGCCCGCGTGCCTTCTGAGAGGACAGGGAACATGGAAGCAGACGGAGTCCCCGTGCGGGGGAGGGACCCGAGCCCGGCTGCGCGCTAACCTGGGGGCAGGACTCACCAACCATGACGGACGTGTAGCTCTGCGCTGGGTCAAAGGGGCACCTGCCCTTGCCATCTTCACTTCTCCCCAGAAATTTAAAGGATGTTAAATTCTGCAATTGAACGAGAAGAAAGAGTATCAGGAAATGTCTGAATTTCTATGCTTGCAGCGTCTGGGTGCTAAACCATTTCCCAGATGCGCTGTCTGGGGGGGGCGGGGGTGGGAGCAGGTGCACACAGCCACGCAAGTCCCAGGGCTGGACGTGGCACCTCGAGAGCCGCCAAGAGCTCGGAGCCTCAGATCCAGCTGACTTGGCTGTAAGACGCCCGCAGCTCCGGGGTCACAGGGCAGCCGGGGCAGACCTGGGGCGGGAGGCGCTCCGCCAGCAAGCGAATGCCGTGTGTGGGATTTCATACCAAAATGGAGGCATTTGAGGCGGTGGGGCCCAGACCACCCAAGAAACAGGTGCCTGGAGAAAAGCAGAATCTCCCCCTCATTCCACCCCATTCTGCACTCACACAGCAGGGCTGACCTCAGGCTTGGGCGTCCCTCCTGGCCAGACCAGGGAGCCCAAAACCCCGATGCATAAAGGGCGGGAAAGCTTTGTGCACGGACGCTGAAGCCGAGTTCGACGACAGGTGACACGGGGAAGGGCCCACGCAAGGACAGCTGAGAGGGGACGTCAGAGAAGAGACCCGTCCGCGGGACGCACGCTAGGGAAGGATGAGCAGCCGGGATGCAGCCGATGACAGCGCCACCTCCAGCCCTCCCCACCTGCAGAAGCTGAACACCACGCGGGCCGCAGGGAGTGGGTGCACGGCCAGGAGGGAGGGGAGCAGAGCGGACGTGGGGTGCTCGCGGGCCCAGAGAGGCCGTGGGCCCGCCTTCAGAGGGCAGACTCCCCGTCAGGCCAGGGATTGCAAGCCAGGGTGCGAATGGATCACGGGTCTAGGGAGGTTGGGGGACGTGTGAACGAGGGGTCGGCCCTGAGAAGAGCGGTCGATGGGGACGACTGCGCATCTTCTCAGGAACGACAGGCCTGGCTCGGCCGTGCAGGAGCGCGCCGCTCTTCCTAGCCCTCAGGGGCCGCGGGTCACAGGACAGCACTGCTGCTCCCAACCCTGCCATCGGCCTTTCTGTCAGCCCCAATGTTTTTATTAAAAATACTGGAAAAAATTACAGGTCCAGATTTAAATGGGACGCCCGAATCCCTTACCTAACAACTGACAGCCCCACGGGATCGGAGTCTACGCCCCAGAGCTCAAAGCCGATTGACCAGAGCTCAGCCAGCAGATCCCCGGATGTGCGGACGCTTCTAACACGACCTGGCACACTTTTCCCCGACACAGAAAGAGGCCAAGCCTCTCCGTGGGCTCAGACCACCGGGTCGACCAGGCCGCGTGTGCGCCCGCCCCAGGGATCTGTGCATGAACACGGTTTCCGCAGGCAAGTCCTTCATCGGCCCCTACTTAGCGCTGTCACTGACGTCTGACTCAAGGTTGGAGAATCTTCCTTAAATTCCCATTGCTTTGGGGTTTCAGCCCAGGAAGCTCTTCCACTTCCCCCTCCCCCGGCCGGTACTAAGTCAGGGGCGGTCACTGGAAGATGGGCTTGTCAATCCACAGGTGCACACTTGTCTCCTCTCTCTGTGGCCGTTCTACATGGTTCCACAGGTGCCTGAGCAAAAGGAGCTTCTCCCAGCAAGACACTGCTGTCACCGTGCTCTGTCCTTGCAGCTCCCTGTCGGCAAGGGGCTGGGAGGACAGGGTGGGGGCCCCTCTGCAAAGACCCTCATGCAGCACAAGGCAGGCCGGGGCCAGGAGGACCGATGCGGGTTGGAAGGGAGCTGCTCGCACACCGGCCGCTGCCCCTCGAAGGCGTGCGTTCCCAGCACCAGACCACATGGTGAGGCCCCCGAGCCCAGCAGCGGCCGCGGCGTCCCCACGAGGCCGGGCTGCCGTAAAGCAGTGCAGACAGGTGGCCTCCAGCCCTCGCGCCCACTCCTTCCAGCTCTGGAGCTCGGGTACCGGCTGGTCGGAGCATGGTGAGGGCCTGTTCCCTGGCCGGCAGGCAGCCCCCCGTCCTCTCGTTTGGAGAGAGCTCACAGGCCCCATCTCCGAACACCAATGCATGGGGGGCCTAGGGCTTCCCCACGTGGATTTGGGGGACACCAACACTCAGCCCATAGCACAGGTGAGCCCACAATGCGCCAGCAGGAGCAGAGCCCTGACTCGTCCATCAGACCTCCCACAAACACAAAACGTGGCAAGAAGGACGCGGGAGGCCAGACCACGGCATGCTGCTGCTGCGTGTGTCAACAGCCCACGTCCCAGAAGGTCCCCCCACTGCCGGCTCTGCGCCGTGGGCCACTGGCCCCGAGTCCTGCCCTGTCGTGCCCCCGGCGACACTGGGCTTCCGGGAGCCCGGCGAGTGGCCTGTGGCATCCCGAGGCGCCCCCGCCGCCGGCCGTTAGAAAACCCTACTGCCCTGCCGAGTGGGGAGCCCCGATGCTGCCCCGGAGGGGGTGCCGGCCTTACCAGGTGGTCACAGGACGGCTGGAACGCGTTGGTGCCGCACACGTAGAGGGCGTGGGCGCTGAGCGGCTGCAGCACGCGGATGTAGTTGAGACATTCAGTCTGCAAGGGAGAGACGCGCCATCAGCCGCCGGCCGGCTCCCGCTGGACGCCCTCCGCTACCCGAACTTCAGGGCGCGGCCCCCACTGTGCCTCCCTGCCACCCCCCCAGCACCTCGGCTAGCCCCCGTGTCACGTGCTCGCGTGGCCCTGCCCGGGCGGTGGGGCAGGTCCCGGAGCCAGCCTCCCCCCGCCCAGGACAAACCTCCGTCTGCGGCGTCCACAGGCCGGCTGTCAGGGGCCAGGACCTCACCCCCCACCCCCGGTCACTAATTCACCCTCAGCAAAGCCGCGCTGACCTCAGACCTTCCTGGACGCCCGCCACCGAAGGGACGCGTTCACTCTCCCTCGACACTCGGCACGTGCCTTGAGGCGGCCGGTGCGCAGCATCCCGCCTGCCGTCCTCGTCCCCAGGGACCCCACCCCGCCCGCCCCAGTGTGCGGGGCTGGAAACAGCGCTTCTCCAGGGACAGGCTGGGCGAGGGGGGGGCCTGAGGCTGTGCGCACACGAGAAAACCAGACGCCACCAAAGAACACGCTATTTTAGGCTGAAATGAGCGTACTGGGATTATACGTGCTGTTGTCTGAAATTATCTCTGCTCAGGGAAGGTTTTTCTGTTTTTCTTCCCCCCAGGATTGTTTTTAACTGGTTGGCAGTAACTCATCCTCCCCATGTGAGCCGGGAGGGACCCTTGTCCACGTGGGGCTGCGCGAGCACTCGGCCTAATTTAGCTCTCAGACGACTCCCTGCAACACCAGTGATTACCACACAAAGCCTGCATTTTCCCATTTCCTAAAGCAACTTCGGATCTAGTGATTTCAGCAAAAATGTTTAACATTTTGCTAAAAAAAAAAAGTTCAGCAAGAACATTTTTTTCATTTTTAATGATTTTGAAATTAACCAACAGCTAAAATCTACCTTAACTCAGCTGTCCTGCCCTAATACCAAGGAAGATGGGGCTCTTACACTGGCAGACTCAGACACGGGCCGGGCACCCGATTGGGGCAGGGGGCCCAGCCAGTGGTGGGGTAACCTGAGCCCTGGAGGGGGAGGCGGAACCTCAGGCCAGCACTGCCCGCATGGCCAGCATGCCGAGGTGCCCAGTATCCCCTGGAGAAGGAGCAGATTCTCCAGGGATGATCGCTGCCCCAAATTCAGAAATCCTACAGCAACCCCTCCAGGCTGTTGGGGTGCTGGGGGAGGCCTGAACCCTGCATTTCACACCTTTAGCTAACAGGCACCAGAAATGATTTTCTCTATCAAGTTTGAGCCCATCTGAATAAATTCAACTAAGTTAACCTTTACCAGAGTGTTTTTCAAGAGCCCCCCCCACCCCGCCATGGGCTCCTGCATTGAGAGACCCCGCCTCAGCATTTGGGCACAGAGGACAACCCCAGGACGGTTGTGACCACGTCACCAGGGGGTTCTGAGACCAGAAATTACCTGTCTTGACTTCCCTTTTTCGGCACATTTTGCTTTTTTATCTTCTGAGACCCTCCAGTATGCCTGTTAGGAGAAATGAGAGTCCGTTTCAGTGCATGTTCCCCGTTCAAAAGGGGATGCCGGCGTTAAAATGCACGGTTTACAAAGCACATGGTGCCCCATGGGGCACGGATACTCCCCCCCGACAGTCGAAGTGGGACTGCAAAGCCAGGCTCAGCCAGAGGACGTCGAGGTCCCGAGCAACTGGGGCTTCTAGAACATTCCGCCCGAGACCCCCACCGAAGCCAGCGGCGCCTGGCCTCCCGGATTCCCGTGGTTGGCTGCAAAACTAGCAGCCAACGCTAGAGTGCTAGCAGCGAGGTTTTCGATTATCAACCCGCTAGACCACAGGTACCCTCAAACGGCCACGTGGGTTCCTGCGACCGTCCGTGGACAGCAGGACCAGGTTCCTTTCAGTTTTCTGCTCCCCCCCCCACGCGTCCTCCACGACCTGTGCTTCTGCTGCCTTCACGCCCCGTGACGTGCGATCAGAACGGGGCAGCCCGCGGGGGCCTCAGCCCTGCCCTCCAGAGGACCGGAAGCCACAGGCCACACCGCAAACAGCCCCCCGACTGCTGCCTCGCCTTCCCCAGGATGCCCGGTCTCCGCGTGTGATGACCCACGATGGGCGCCCCGACAACCGGAGCCAGCCGCCGGAGCCCAGAGCTCGGGAAGCGCCCGGAGCTTCTCCACGGCGGCAGGCGATGCCCCGTGCACGCGGTCCCACGCTAAGCGTCCTGCACGCACTCGCTCCTTGCAAGGCCTGACCAGCACATGCATCACCAGCGGTGTGTTTCCAGAGACCGAAGTCCTCCTCAGAACACACAAAAGCAGAACCACGTCCCGCGGCCGAAGGCAGCTTCCCTCAGAAAGCAAAATGCCAGCGATTTCATCTCCGTCTACACAAAACACGTAAGGCCACGGGAGCATGAATGCAGACGGGCCCCTGGCCGTGCTCACTGGGCCCCGAGGGGACGTGGCACGCAGCAGCAGAGAGCAAAAAGCCAACCCCAACCCCTGGGCTCATGTCTGAGGACCCAGCGGTCGAGAGGCCTCCACCAGCCGGGAAGGGACTGGCTGAGCACCAGGCACGGCTCGGGCGGCGACGGAGCTTCCGACACTCCGATTCGCGACTCCGAGGTCATTCTGCAAATCCGAATAATCGGAACACCACTACCTCCCTCAGAGAGAAGGAGCTCATTAAAAACAGGCAAACGAAGGCCAAGATTCCAGGTGCTGACCCCCCGACTTCCAAAGGAACTGGCCCCGGGGGACATGAACCCGCTTGCTGGTGGCTTCCTGCTCCCACGTGGAGGAGAGGCTGAGCTGGGGAGTCCCAGACGCAGCCGGGGCTGCACTGTGGGACCTGCCTCGGCGGAGGGGCCTGTCCGTCACCGAGGACGCGGGAGCGGCAGTGTTCCCAGCGAGGGGCCAGGGCGGCGGCGGGACACGGACACTTGCCGGGCAGAGTGGGCGGCTCCATGGATGGCCTGATTTCAACCGGATTCACGTCATTTATGACAGTCCGTGGAATCGGAACACCAACTATTTGATGACAGTTTTTGGATGTGACTGTGGTATTTTGGTTATTCTGACACAAAGGAGTCCTTTCCTTGAGGAAGGGGACACCCAGGGAACCCCTCACGGATGAAGAGCGTGTTTGGGACTTGCTTCGAAGCCCCCAGAGACAACGGAGCACCAGGACATGGGTGGAGGAGGGTGACCCCGGGCTGCAGGAGCCGACGGGGGCACAGGTCTCCTCGGCACCACTCCCTCGACTTGTGTGTGCTCGAGATTCTCCATAATGAAAAGATAAAAAATTCAAGAGGAAAGGACAGAGGCCCCTGGGTGAGTGGCCAGCGTGGGAGGACGAAGCTGCTCGGAAGCAGGGTGGGAAGGCGGCTTCGGGGTGACGGGCCCCTTGCTTGCTGGTGGGCGGGAGGCTGCTGGCCCGGCGTGCAGGATGGCGGTGGGGCCGGCCACGGCGTGAGCAGGCTGCGCGGCCAGGAAAGCGCCCGATGCCCCAGGAGGGGTGGTGACCAGTGCAGACTGGAGGAGAGACGCCGGGAAGGTCTGCGGCCCACACGGCAGTCGAGAGGGAGCCCACGCCTTACCTCGTGCTGCTTCACGGAGATGTTGTGTGCACTCAGGGCAAACACGGCTTCCCGGGCACCCACATACAGGGTGGTCTTGTCTTCGCTGAGCAGCAACACTGAGTAGTTGAAGATGCCCGGCTCGTGAAACTTCTCCAGGTGCACCTCTGCGGAGGCAAGAGAGAACATCAGGCATTTCCCAGCCTGGACACACCGAGCACCCCGTCTTGCTGTAACACACCGTCATGTCGCCAGGGCTGTGCGTGGATCCCCTGCCCGAGGCCAGCACGCAGACCCGCTCAGACAGTCACTACGAGCATGCGACCCTGCAAGGCCCCCGAGCCACTGTGCTCGGCCAGTGCTGGGGCCCGGGGCCCTTTCTTGTTCCTCCAGCGGAGTTCCAAACCCTGCACTCAACGTGGCCTCCGAGGAGTGTGCCCTCCCAGGAGCGAGCGTGGCCTCCAAGCATGTGACCTCCCAGGCAACCCCAGGCTGCTGACCACTGTGCTTCCCGCGCTCTCGTGTACTTGTGTTTAATCTTAACACAGATTAAGTACATGAAGAATATAACTAAGCTTTTCTTATTCAGGAAAAAAAACATGATGTAGCTCAAAAGCTTTAAAAAAAATCTAGTTCAGTAAATATATCCCTTAACTGAAGCATTTTTCAGGGAGAAGCACCACGAGCTTATAAACGAGAGAAACACTGATGTTTCCTCTCTTATGAGGAAATCGCATGGACAAGCAGGACAACGAGAATCGGGACAATCAGCAGTGACATGAACGGATTGGCACAGTTTCTCAAGGCCTGACCGTCCCAGCATCAGCACGAGCGGTCTGAACTTGGATTTCATGAACCACTGGTTTCACGTAAGGACTAGGTGTCCACACATTCTGCTGTCTGGATTTTCCCAAGCTGGAGACAGACGCGCAGAGGAAGGCTGTCCCGGCACGCACACGGCCAGGGACGCTGCACAAGACGGCTCAGCCCTGCGCGCAGCCCTCGCTCCACTCGCCGGGGAGCCCAGGGGTCTCAGGACACAGCTCCCAGCAGGGGAAACGGACAGAAACTACGGATGGCAAATGAGAGCCCTTGGCGGGAAGCCTGGCCGCCTGTCATTAAATGTCCTCAAACAGGGGCACCTGGGTGACTCAGATGGTTAAGCGTCTGCCTTTGGCTCAGGTCATGATCCCAGGGTCCTGGGAT